GCGAACTTCCCTATGATATGTATTTATTTCCCCAATTTCTTGCAAATAAAACACGAATCCATTTTCCAATAGCACTTGTGAATTTCCTGAAAAAAAAGACATTTAAAGCTACCACCACTTGTTCATGATCTGGGCGCTATCTCCAAAAATAGTCAAGTTACAAAAAAAGTTCATAAGGCAAAGGTATACAGGGTGGCCCATCGAAAACGTTCCGCAAGGCATAACGGCCAGGGTAATTTTTTTTTGAGAAAATCCAAAAACACGTCAATTTTGTTAGTGAGGGGGACAACTTTTGCCCCAAAAATGATTGCAAAATCTTCAACCCTCTAAGCGGGGGTGTCATCCCCCAACTTTTTTCAAATGGGAATGGGGGTCAAGTGGCACCGCAATGAAAAGAGCTTTCTATTCTCTATATTTCCCCGCTTCGTTTTTGAAAATCGGTCCAGTCATTGAGAAAATAAGGAAGATTGAAATTTGAAAAGTTTATTTAAACATTTATCAGACTAAATGATAAGGATAAATTCCTTCGACCAATTTGCTGTTTTTTCTTATTATTTCTAGATGTTTACGCATTTTTTCACTTGCCACAAGGTTGATCGATCAGGTGCGGTAGTTGCTAGATAGCTGTTCTGTGACTTGTGCGTTGAAGTTCTTCTCAATATCGTTAAACTTTTTAACAATTATGGTGTACTCACTTGCAGAAAAAGTGGATATAATCGAACTATATTTTAAAAATAATGAATGTGGCAATCGGTTTGCGCAGATATTCAATGAACGCCATCCTGACAAATACCTTTATGGCAAAATTGTTCGCGATTTAGTAGCAAAATTTCACGAAACTGGTTCCGTTAAGAATAAAAAGAGGCAGAGGAAAAATCCTGTAGTAAATGAAGCTATGGAGGTATTCGTATTGGGCCAAGTTGCCATGGGTAGTACGCTGAGTACAAAAAATTAGCCAATGAGACCGCGCCCGGCGTGTGTGTCCAAACGATATTAAAAAAACACAAGTTCCACCCGTACAAAATTCAGTTGGTACAAGAACTCAACGAAGACGATTTTGATCGTCGCGGGCTGGTATTTTTGGAAATTCTATTGTAGGTCAGTTTAACGATATTGAGACCGCACCTGATCGTTTAACCTTGTGGCAAGTGAAAAAATGCGTAAACATCTCGAAATAATAAGAAAAAACAGCAAATTAGTCGAACGAATGTATCCTTATCATTTACTCTGATAAATGTTTAATTAAACTTTTCAAATTTCAATCCTTCATATTTTCTCAATGACTCGACCGATTTTCAAAAACAAAGCGGGGAAATATAGAGAATAGAAAGCTCTTTTCATTGCGGCGCCACTTGACCCCCCTTCCCATTTGAAAAAAGTTGGGGGATGACACCACCACTTAGAGGGTTGAAGATTTTGCAATCATTTTTGGGGCAAAAGTTGTCCCGCTCACAAACAAAATTGACGTGTTTTTGGATTTTTGAAAAAAAAAATATCCTGGCCGTTATGTCTTGCGGAACGTTTTCGATGGGCCACCCTGTATATACTCTTATTTTGAACGAATTTCCTAGAGTGAATTTGCTGAAAAAAAGAGTAACATTGAAAACTACCCTAATTTGTTCATGAACTGCGGACGCTATCTCCAAAAATAATCAAGCTACAAAAAAAATTCATGAGGAAAAGTTGCTTGTCCATTTATTATGAATTTTATAAATAATAAATTATGCTAAGTCCGGATATAATAAACTTATAAAAAAAATCATTAGGCGAACTTATAGAGAATGTTCTTATGTACAATTTGCGTCTAATTATTTTGTTGTAGTACAGTTTTAAAAAAAAACACAAGGGGAAAATTTCCGATTTTGTTAATTTTACACTCAGAAGACAGTCGCTGACAAAAATCAGCTTGCCCGTAATTTTTTTTTCACTCTCTATACGGCGATACAATTTTACTGGGTTGCAAGTACATTTACAAGTTTTTCCATTTTTGGGTTAGAATTTGATGATTTTGGCTCATTTAAAATTAATAACTGAGCTGTGTTTATATTTGAAATCATTTTTATCCACGGCTGCCAAATGGATATACCTATTCAAAAATCGAGTCAGCAATGACACACTTGTCTGTTTGGTGACTTTTTCAGATTGATTGACACTGAACCGATTTTTCAGTATGTGTTAATTAAAGTATTTCTAAAAAAACAAGGGTGTTTTTTCCTAAAATATAAATGTTCAGCACGAAGTTTTTCAAGGAGATAATAGAGAAAGGGAGATATATAATCTATTTTAGATTCGGGACAACACCGGTAAGGAGAGACCAAGTTAAAGAAGCGGAGAAAATGGAGAAAAATCATCCTCCTCACAGGTACCTTAGCCGAAAAAAAGGTGTATCCCCTGGTAGAAGGTAGATGTCCACTCCTCAGAGGAAGAACATCTGTTGCCAGAAAAGGATGGGAATTACCCTATGCCCTTACAACAGGAATATCCCCATGTATGATGAGTTATAATTCAAGAACGGGGAACACAAAAAATCTATAAGGTCGCGATGATTAACCCCCCTCCCACTCATTGTACATTGTGCATTATAACCCCAGACTATTACTATTACTAAAATATAAAAAAATCGAAAGCCTTGTTATACTTATATTAAATTCTATATACGCTACTGAATGAATTCATTACATCCTTACAACGAAAAACCCCGTTCTAATATTTTAATTTGCCGCTTCGTTTGAATAATAAATTTCCTTAGAAATAATTACCAAAGGCATTTGCATAAAATGCAGGATTTATAACAAAAGTTCGAGCTCTATTTAACAATCAAAATTCGATAATTAGCTTTTAAGCAAATTTTACCTTAATGCCAAGTCGCCGCTTGCTTTGGACTATTAAAATGTAATTAGTATAATTTTCAAGTTTAATAAACAAGGTTAGTAAAGTAATATTCTCGTACAATTACATATAAATTACGAGTGTGTAAATCTGGGTGATTACACGTTGTTGAAGTTATATGTATCGGTTGGGTTTTGGATTAAATCCAGTTTTTATCGGTGTTCGCTTACCGATTTGACTTGGTAATTAAAATGTGCCTTTAGAGAATATAACTTATTGCATCCTTTAGTTTCTATTTACTTACGATAATTAATTGAAATGAATTGACGTGAAATACAAGGCAATATATACCGGATAGTGTATCGGCGTTTGAGACATAGGAGATCCCATGAAAACTTTGAACTGTCTAAATATTGTCTCCCCTGTCGATTTCACCGCGAAGTCGTAAAAATGTTTTTTAAAGGTCTGCGTATGCTGAACACACTTGTCAAATATGAACAATTTTGAACAAGCCGATTTTAAATGATTTAAGAAAAATTGCATCTATTTTTAAATTAAAACTCAAGAGCTAATAATGCAAAACCAGTCAAATGCCGACATAGGTGCCTTAAGTTATCAACCTATGATTTTGTAAATGTCAAATTGTATCACAAAGTTGTATTTCCTAAACGTTAGGCTTTCGCCTGTTTGTTAATTAACAAATTACGAAAATGCATTTCGGACATACTGTACTGTACTATTAGTCTAAAAAAAAAGGGGCCTTCAAATAAGAAGGCAACGGCCCAGCTACGTCGAAACACCGGTTCCCATTAGAACACCGAAGTTAAGCGACGTAAGGCGATGGACGGGTGACCGGTTCGAAACTCTGTATCGTGCTGTTGTACAAAGGCAAAAGTGTAAAATCTATTGACACACACTGCTCATTCACGCCGCCGGTTCGAGGCCGGATGAGATCGGATATCTCGTGAGTAGCAGCCGATTTAGACACTTGCCAAGTCGGTAGGCCATTGACCATGATATGGCCGGGGACCGCGGTTCGGATTCCGCGTAAACAAAGTAGACCCCATCCAGATTAGCCCTGGCAGCAAAAAGGAGACTTGAATAAAAATGTTAAATATATAAATTTTTTAGCGACTTATAATTTTTTAAATCATCCCCTAGCTTCTAGCTACCCTATCCCGGTTAATTAGGAGCAAAAAAAAAGGATAGAGATAATTTATTTGAACATTTTTCTAGTTCATACCGTTTCTCCGAAATTTCAAAAAACTAATATTATTTATTTATTTCACCCCTTCTCGGGTGTGAATTTAAAAATATTTCACAATCCGTTTTTAGATCTTTCAAAGTAACCTATAATCAAAAATTCAAGTTTTTACCAAAAATTCAAATTTGAAGGCCTATTTTCTTGGACGTATAGTAGCGTAAACAGCACAACAAATTGACTAAATCATAGGTTGAGGATTTAAGGTATGTTGACATTTGTTTGGTTTTGCATTGTTTCCTGTTCAGTTTTAATTTACGACAGATGCAGTTTTTCTTAAATTAGTTAAAAGCAACTTATGCAAATTTGTTAAAATTGCTCGGCATTTAATAGATAATATTTTTAAGAAATAAGATGTCACCTTTCTTTTTTTTCTCTGCTGATTTCTTTGACGAACCCTGCACAATCATAACATATTCCATAATCTTTTGAATATACCAATAAAGTAGCCAGTGCTAGACACAAATTTCAAATAATACAAAATAATTTCGATTACGATTACGGTTCCGCGAAAGTAAACTTAAAAACTGTAAATACAACTCAGCAGCCAGTTACAATTCCCTCTTAATTTCAATACTCTCCAATACAGATTATTTCGCCGCATCGTTATGCATTCTTTATCTGTCGACGATGTGGCTGGTTGGCTGTCAGCAATGCAGTTCCGCGGATAGGGGTCGATATTTTGTAGGATCTACTCATCTCTAATATACTCATCATAATGAAGCAATAGAAAAAATTATAAAAATATTTCAATAATTTCCTTCGTACGTACCGTCGCGTCGTCTAGCCCTCCGCCTATAAATCTTATCAGATTATCAGAATTTTAACAAATTCATTTTTTATATATTTTTTATATTTAAGACTTATAGATAGAAATATAATTTACGAGATAATTTATTTAAATGCTCACCTCCTCCAAGTGTAGTGATATGCTGATGCTTATGCGTCGTCCCGTGACTCAGGCCCTGCTTAATCGGTTTAAAATGAAAGAACGACGGCGAATACCCGGATCCAGCGCGACTCAGCGAGCTGAATCTCTCCTCCCTGTCCTCCACATACACACCTTCCTTCCCCATAGCGGCCAACTGTCTTCCTTTCGGCATGAACATGATCAAGAACACCATGATCGCCATTACGACAAGCCCAAACGCTATACAAGCATCCCTGTGTCTCTCGCCAACCACCAGCCCGCTTACAGTCCAAATCAACCAAATGGGTATACTGCAACCCACCGAAAGTCCAATATATGTCGCTTCTCTGTAGTTGTCTCTTATTCCCCGAGATTTCACTGCCAAAACTGTCACGAAAACGATAAGAAATATTACATAGATCAAGGATAAAAGTATGTCAACGTAGGGAGTACGACATAAAGGTATGCTTTGGGAGGTTGAGATATCAGCAGCGGTAACTAAGAGTCTGTTTCTGTTCTGGTAAACCACGTGCTCCACTGTGACGAAGTCAATTTGGGGTGGGCTGGTTAAAAGCCACTGAACAGCTATGGCCACTTGTATTAAAATTGCAAACATCAGCAATAGTCCTTGGTAAGGAGCTGGTAAGTACACTCCTCCGTTTAAACTTATCAAGAAAACACACTTAACTAATAGCGAAGCAAAAACTATAGTATATGCTACGCCAGTTCCAAATCGCATCAAAGCACAGGTGAACTGACTGGGGGATGCAGCACAGATTGAGGCCAGTCCTGCACACGAGAATAATCCTAAAAGAAGCATCTGACCTAGGAAGAGATGTCTTCGACTCGGTGTGGTTCTCCAAGCTTTGCAAAGAACAAACACCTCAAAACCTGCGATGAGTATCATGGTTATTGCGGAAAGAGCCAGGACGGGAATGACCCAGACCTCGTTTCTGAACACTCCAGCAATCTTGTTTTCATCCGATTGAAAAATGGTCTTTGTGATGTGTACTCCTGAAGCTGACGAAGAAGTAACTAGTGGTGTGCTGGTTGAAGGTACCAGAAAAAACTCCGTGCTCATCTCAATCTTACGCTGCAAGGCCATACTCTCCTCTTCATCGTCTCTATCGAAAACCACATGTCTCATATTGTTACCCGAGTACTGCCCTGTCCTCATTTGTCGGTTTTTTAAATCGTTCTCTGGTGCAGCGGACGGTACTTTATGTCTCAGGTTCTGAAAATAAGACAGGATTTCGCTACGATTAAACGTAGTACGTCCTTCTTCAAGGTCAGCGGGGATCTTTAAATCGCGCCTCTTCTGATTCACTCGGTTCTCGTCTCGCGGGTACTCCGTAGGTACTCCGTCGACATCTTCGTAAACGTCCGAGGGTGTTTTCAGTTGTTTCCGAACTACTGGTTTCTCGAATATTACTCCAGGCCGAAAAAAATCATTGTCCTGTGACGGTACCACCAATTCTGACTCTTCTTGTTCATGAAATACGCGAGATTCATGCTTTGAATCACTGTTATCCAGAAACACGAATCTATTTTTACCTTTATAAGGTGGTACCTCAGTGGAGGGTGAGGATATTTCTTCAAAAACAATAAATTTGTTCCTCCCTTTAAAAGAGGGTAGTACCGGGGTTAAACCTGCGCCGGGGGGTTCCCTTTTGATGTCACCGTTATCGAGAAAAATAAACTTATTTCGGCCGCGGAAGGGTAGTACGGATTGGGGTAGTACTTCAGGGGGCCCGCGATCTAAATCACCGGAGCGAGCGTGTCGGTCTTGCGCGGCGAGCGGTAATACCACGCAAACCGCGGCCAACGTGACGATTCGTACGAAGGTGCCAGCCATACTAAGCGGCTGATTCTGCTGGCAGTACCGAAGAACGAGAAGAAGAGTGGTACCGACGCGACTTGGATGGGACATCGACGAAAATCGGACCAGAGACCAGGTTCCGTTTTTTTGGTGGTACCTACCAGCTTCGGCTACTGGTTAGTCGAGATTTGTTGTTTTTTTTTTCTGGTATTGGTATAAAGCTTGTGTAATGAATGTTGATATTTGATGATTTTTTCTGTATATATTAAGAGATTAATGTGATTTTTTAATATTTAAAAAAATATACTGCGACTACTGATCAAGTTTATAATTATTTATTATACGGGTTGTCTTAAATAAGTGCAAATATTTTATGGGTGGTATATTTCGACCTCAGAAATAGTTCTATGAGTTTTTTTGTTAAAAAATTTTTGGAAAATTTTGTATTTTTTGATTTTTTTAAAATTTTATGTTAAAAAATAATATCTCGGTAATATGACAACCTAGGTAGCAGCTTAAATTTAGAAGAAGAAACAATCCAGTGGTTCTCAAATTGTAAGCAATTTGTTTTAACTTTCAAAGTAAATAAGAAGTGAAGTCTGTTTCTTTTGAATGGATGAAGTCTATTTCTTTTATCGACCAGTCCTGAAAATATTTTTACTTATTTAAGACTCACTCAAGTGTTTTAGGGAGCATTTTATCCACGCAAGACTGTTAAACGCAATAACGTAATTCGAAGGTACCACCTTGGGGTAGAGAGAGATAATCAATAAATAATTATTATCGATTGGGATGTGTCTGTTTAGCGGCAGTTATGGATTCGGGAATATCTCAATTATTTCAGATGACACTAGCCAGTTGTCAAAAATGATTTAGTCAATAGATCCGAATAATAGTTGAATGAGATGGAAGATATGGAATGACATGTGAAATAAGAATGTCAGTGGTTAAGGGGTGGACTACACCCGTGTAAGTTTTACTACTTAATTTTCAATTTTATCATTTTATCTATATCATGAAATGTTTGTTTTGATATTTTTATGTATAACGAGAGTCTGCTTGCCAATGGCTAACTAAATGGATATTTGAGGTAAATTTACATTATCAGACCCGATTGAGTAAGCTCCAGAAATAATTACATTTACATAAATCAAGAAAATGTTCCCCACAGAGTATCTCAAAAAACATTGAAAGTTCCTTACTTCTGTTTTCTCCTTGTATGTAATATAAGAACGTACTGTTTACCAACCGTGAAACACTCTGTATAATTCTTGTATTTTACTTTATCACCGTTTTATATTGTTATGTTAAAGCGGTCCCAACTATTTACCGGAGTTATTTCGAAAAAATCTCACACTTAAAGCTTTTAACAACAATATCAAGTACAGAACAAACATGGCGAAGACAAGAAAAATTGTTTCTTCAAATATATTCAGTTAAGTATCTCCATTAGCTGCTTTGGCCTTAGTAACTAAAAGCTATTTAAATAAATTCCTTCGAAACCACAAAGGAATGATTATTTTATGGTTTTTAATAAGAAGACGGAATTCTTTTACCAGAGTCGAATGCACAAGTTGCATTATTAAAAATTTTAATTTATTTAAAAAAATCATTCCAACTAGGGATGAAAGCATCGATATATCGATATATTTGACACTATCTCGATGTATAAACCTCGAAAACCTAAAAAAAACCTAGAAAATATCGATGTAAAATAACATATTTTTCATAATCAAAATAAGTAATACAATGTTGGGTTAGTTACACCATTTATAACTCAAGAATGGATGGATAAATTATAGAGAGATACAAAAACATTTTAATTTTAGAAGTGTCTACCAGACAACTCTGTAGCGATTAAAGGGAAATTATTTAGTGCAGCCGTTAAGGATTAAAGAACCTCTTGACAATCGAAGATTGTTCTTACTTAAATCAACGAGTTCTGAGAAATTTCTTCGAGTGATTTAAACCGTTGGATGATTCCCATTTAAGGTTACAGATGGAGTCTTCCAGGTTCTTGAGTTCCGCTTTAAGTTGGGTTCTACTTGGGAAACAGATAAGTTCTGGTCCAGGTATCGAAGTGCTCGCTCCTTTTCTAGCTAGATCGTTTGCTTTTTTGTTAGCTTTTATCTCTTAGTGGGCTGGCATCCCGAGTAAGAGGACTTTATTTTCTTTACCTAATTTGTTCAGCTTCTCTAGGCTCTACTAACAGATACAATGTTAATTTTAACGAGGTTAGATACAAAAAAAATTCCATTCCAGGGTGTTCTAGGCTGAGCGTGCATTAGAAGTTTCTAGAGAACCACAATATCTAGATCGGAGATTTTTTGCATATCATTGTTTTACAACGAGATCTATCGATTAAAAATATTTTCAATATGGCGGCACTTCCGGAAATACCGAAAGTTGACAGCAACTTTCTTATTTTAAATAAAAAAGTGGGTTTCCATTTGAAAAATATGATTTATGATAATTTTTTAATCGCTCAATCTGCGGCTATTATTATAAGACATTCGAACAATTTAATATTTGAAAAAGATAGCCACATGTTTCCTCTTTATGGCACAGTGGCTGTGGTAATCACTAAATTTGACGTTTAGGCTAGACACATATTTTTGACAGGCAGATTTTTTCGTTGAAAATTTTTAAATAATTTTTTCCTCAAAAACGGTTAATGTTAGATATTACAACATAAGTACATAATAAAAAATGGAGGCACCCATTTAAAATAAGGAAGTTGCTGTCAACATCCGGTATTTCCGGAAGTGCCGCCATATTGAAAATATTTTTAATCGATAGATCTCGTTGTGAAACTATGATGTGCAAAACATCTCCGAGCTAGATGTTGTAGTTCTATATAGAAACTTCTAATGCACGCTCAGCCTGGGACACCCTGTAAACAATGTGTATATAAACAAAGAAAAATAAACCAAAACGATAGGCGTCATCTCGCTGAAAATACTTAATACAATAATTGCTAAGAAAGTAAAATCAGACGCCGCCTGCACGTAACAATAAAACTGACAAGCGCTATAATTAAAATATTTCGATTTTATTTTCCGTTGCGCCTTCGTCTCGGATTCTAATGCATAAATCTTCTTAATTCACACTTCCAGGCAGTTTTTCGGAAAAAATCGCCCGGCCATTATGATGGAGGCCAGTGACGGCACATCGTCGTATCTCATCCTATTATATGTTGGGATGAGATCGTGCAATTGTATATAATCGTGAAAAATAATTAAGGACTCAACAAAAATGGACATTGAATTTAACTTCGTTTTATTTTAATTCTCGGTTTATCTTTTTTTTTTGTTCTTCGTGAATCGTTAATGTAGACATCCACTAAGAAGGAATCTTGATCATTTCTTATCCGAAGTAGGCATAATTTATTATTACTCATGAAATTTAAAAAAAATTAACCAACATATTATACGTTTTTATTCATAGTTGAAATTCGTACTCTGGGTGCTTGCTCACCAAAGGATAGAAGGTAATGAAAAGGCAAACAATTTAACCAGAAAAGAAGCAAACACTAACTGAACCACCACCGTCCTGCTTCCCAAGTAAAAAACAAATTAAAGTGGAACTCAGGAACCTGGAAAACTCCATCCGTAACCTGGAATGAAATTCTCCAGCCGGTCTAAGACGTTCGAAGAAATTTCTCAGGACTTAAGCTTCATTCAGAACCTCGCAATTAGTGGAATAAATTAGTGATTTCAATTACACTTCATACTTTTTAGTTTACGATCATTCACAATGTCTAAGAAAGACAATTAAAATTAATAGATTATCCTAGCAACAGCTTGAGGTAATCAGTTGTATCCATAGAGAAAGCCTAATATTTAGGTTATTAAACAATAAATTTTTGCTTTTTTTAACTTTTTTTCTAACCACAATTTCTCTTGACGGATGATAATCAAAACCAAAATGACATTCTTAGCAAATTTTGAAGTATAATTAGTGGAAAAGTTAAAAGTTTGTTAAGTTTTTCTACTAATTGAATATTACTACCACTAAATTTTGACGTTGTGAATGCTTACATTGATATAAGAGAAACAAACTTCTACGCTAATTGAAACCACTAATTTACTCAACTAATTTGGAGGTTCTGAATGAAGCTTTACCACTGAAAAAATCAAAGATTTTCCTTGATTAAGTAAAAACGATCTTCGGTTTGTTTTGTTTCGGTGTTTTTAACAGGACTTTCTCCTCAATGAACACTTAAGCAGATTGAAGCTAAGAAATCCGGCAGCGGCAAATGCAGATTCTGTGGGAAAAATGGGAAAAATATCAGAACACCTCATCACAGAGTGCGCCGAGACAACAAACATTCGTGCCATAAACTTTGGTACGACCGATTTCGGATATGGAGAGCTAACCTTTTTAAAACCGTCTCAGATACTGCCTTTCGCCAAAGCCCTAAGACTGTATGATGAGTTATAACTCAAGAAAAAGGGACAGTAAATCTAGGTTCTACGTTTTGAAAGTGTCACATTGTCTATCTGTACTTCCCTCGCTGGCTTCTCAGACTCTTTTTTTCTTTCATTTCTTTTAATTCTAGTCTTTCTGTAGCTAAGATAATAGTTAGGATTTTTTTAGTTTTTAGTTAAAAACATAATTTCTTGATAATATGGCAATATAGGTAGTAGATTAAATTCACAAGAAAGAAAATCCAGAAGAGATCCAGTGGTTCTCAAAATTTTAGCAATTTTTTTTTTTTTTGAAATTCCCAAAGTAAAATAACTCGGTTATTTTGGATTTATTTGAAAAACAGTAAAGAGAAAATATGTCCTTTTATGGAGATCTACCAGCCCGGAAAATATTTGGACTTATTTAAGACTCACACCGTATATCGAGAGACTGTGGTTACGCTCTTGTTACGCTCGTTGAATTTGACACTTTATATCAGTTTAATAATATATATTCGCACTTTTATGCTTAGGCGTATAAGTGCTTTACTTATGCCTAGGCTTTGAAATGGCTTCTTATATTGTCAATCACGTCGCAAAAATTAATACTTTTGTGACGTTTGAAAAAAATAGTATATTGTTTTATTAGGAGTGAAATGATACTTTTCGTGGTGAGGCTGTACGTTTGGCATTACATGCGAGACACAAAATAGCTATTTATGTAACAAGTTGCGAAATGAATGTGTTTTAAGCACGGGATGCAAAATTGTCCAACGAGACGAAAGCCGAGTTGGACAATGCGTCGAGTGCTTAAAACACTCTGTTCGCTACGAATTTCATACAAGATTTTTTGTGACAGCGGATAATTTGAGATTTTCATACATACATATTTTATTTTTAAACATTTTTAATGCACGGTAATCGGTTTTAAGCATTGCTTATGCATTGTTTAATGACAAAGTTCTATCAGGTTCAAACTTCGCCGTATTTCCTACAAAGTTTTGTGAAAGAATGAGTGATAATGACGAGTCTTTGAATATTCAACAAGCTGTTGAAACTGCGCTATCCACGTTATTGCCCGAGAAGTCGAAAACTTATACGAGACCACCTACAACAACTTTGAAAGCTGAGTCAAAGAAAACATGTTGAGAATTTCACAGAATATTGCTAGCCTATTTCCCGAAGTTATCCACTACCTTTAAAGCCGTCAACTCTGTGAAGTAAATATTCGATGGTCCGCGCCATGGTTTACCTGAACAGAAACGTATATTAGCAAATTCACAAACCTTTATTGCATTTTTAAAAGAAAGCTCCATTTTTACTTCTTTAGGCACTAGTGCTCAAACAAGTGCCACCAAATAAAATAAAACCGTCAATTTCGGAAACGCTTACAAAAAGTAATTTTACTCCGAATAGGATATGCTATTTATTTCAATGCTCAAATAATTTTTAAAAAATTATAACGTTCCAAATAATATAAAAAGATTTTAAAAAGTAATTCTTTGCAAGTAACTAACAACTAACTATATATCGAGAAACCATGGTTACGCTTCGCTCGCTGAATTTGACACTTCATGTCAGTTTAATAAATATATTTTCTTATAATTTTTATTTTTTTTTGACACCCTGTATATTGTGCTCAGGCGTTAAAATGATTTTTTTTTTTTATATTATCAGTCAATGTCGTAAAAAACTAATACTCTGTGGCATTTGAAAAATATTTATTAGGAAGAATTTCACCGTTTTAAATATTACAGTTGAGTCGACGCTGACCAGCGACTCTAAAAACGTAAAGTGAAAATTATAGAGTAATAACGAGTACTTTGTTTAAGACAGCCGATAATTACGGCAGTTATAGCATTATATTTATGGCGTTTGCGACTCTACGCGTCACCGTAAGTGCGTCTAATATTATCTCGAACGGGTGTAACAAGCGCCGTAATTATTTCGTCATGTACCTACGCAGTGTGTGCTGTTCTATTTCGCGGAATTCGGATACGGCCAGCTTAAAGATAACGCCAATAAATACATTCATACATACACAATTGCTGCGAGCCAAAATTCTATGGAATTTTGGTTAAAATTAACCTAATAATCAATAACCAAAAAATATCCGCGAAGGTGCATTTTAGCCGACCGGCGCGTAGTCATAAATTCAAAAGTTTTCTATTTAAAATAACACATAAAAAAATTTCCATTAAAAGCACCATAACTTTGAAACAGTTTACTGATAAGAAATTTTAAATTAAAAAAAAAAAAAAAAAATTTCCTAAAAAATCTATCTCAGAGTAATCTAGTTTATTTTGCTAAATATGAAAATGTTTAATCATTAAACACTACTGCATATTTTGATTTTTTCACTTTTTAAAGCTTCTAAATATAATAGAATTATTGAATTGAAAAAAATTTCTCTCAGCTTCATTAGGGAAATTTTATGCCTACATGAATCCGCTATGTAAAAATTGTTGTCGTAAACCGTTTCCAAATGTATGGCAATTTTAATGGAAAAAGATTTTTTTACGTACATTTAAATGGAAAACTTTGATGCCGGGACCCCATTAGAACATACGCCACGCTATCCCACGTATCCCACGTGGCCCACGTGTGTCTGACGCGCGGAAGATACATATGATCTGGGACAGATGACACACGTGGGATAGCGTTGCATCACGTCGGGTGCACCTAAATGGCGTGTCACCTAGTGTGTACGCGCAAATAATACGTAATTGGAATGGAAAACATTTACTACGACGTGGGGTGGCATAGCGTAGCGTGGCGTGGAGTGTGGTGTCCCGGCTTTAATGTTCACCGACACCTTTCTATTTCTGCCTTCCGGGATATTTTTATAGTTTATTAGTTTAATTTTAACCCATAAATTTCTGCAGGATAGTTTGCTCACCTTAATACTATTCATATGTTATAATGTTTATCACGAATTATTCGTTCAGGACCGAAAAAAATCAGAGATCTTTTCCTTAAATTTGTCTACGTTTCGCAAAATTTATTCGCCTCATCAGGATAAACTGAAAATTGTTATAGTGGTGATGATATAACGCTCTGCATATTCAGACTACGAATTTGTATCGGAACACCTGGCAGAAAAGTATTTTCTTTTACACCTTCAAAATTCTAAGTATATTTTATTAACGTACATTTTACAATCTTCACTAATCTCTTCAAATTTCGTATACAATAAGGCAATCTCATCGCAAACATTTTATACACCGCGTTAAATGTTTGCGAGGGTTCAAGTACCTTCACGCCACAACTCTCTGTTTGATTAGGTTGAAATATTAGTTTTACAGGAAACGGTCTTGTAAAACAAGTGTATCTTCCAGATAAGGACCTAATTTACGATATGACGCGCTTGTGCAACACCTATCGCCTTTGCATAGCAAACGAACAACAACAACAACAACGACCAACGGATTTCACCAGCCCACAGCCAGCCGGATCCATGACCCGACCGAAGGAAAACGCATGGAACACGAAAACGAAAGGAACACGATCTGAAACGGAGGACGAATGGACAATATGGAAGACGAACGGACGGCCGGACACCGCAGGGACACCACCCTTGGCCCAGGAAAGACACCGAACTGGAATATCCGAACGAACGAATGGAATGGACAACATTTGACCAATGGAAGGAATGAACGGAAGGAAGGAAGATGACCGATAGTCTGGACGAAGAGATCGGCGGTTGAACGGATGGAAAAGGTGGAAACGGAATCGGAAAGAACGGAAGGAATGACGACCGACCCGAACGAATGAAGACCGGATGACGGATTCCACGCCGGAACGGACGGAAAGCGGACCGGACACGGAAGAAGAAAAATATTTTAGGAAATGATTGAGCCTTGAACGGAATACCCACGAAGGAATGAATGGAACATGAAAACGGACGATGAGGAATGGATATGAAGCGGAATGGAACGGATGAAGGAAAGACAGGGAGGAACGGACCGAAAACGGAACCCAGCAAGATCGGAACGAATGGATTAACGGAATGGATTGAACACCCCAATGGAATGGAGGAAGGAATGGATCTTCGGCCCCGGAATGGAGCCGGAGGAATGGACCGGAATGGAATGGATAAGGATGGAATCGGACGACCGGAAAAGATGGACAAATGGACGACGACTTGCCACAGCATGGAACGGATCAGGAAGACCGGACGCATAATGGACCGAGGACCATGGACGGAATTGAAATGAATGGAGCCCTTGAAATTGAAGGAATCGGAAAATGGACGGACGATGGAATGGAATGGAATGACCGGAATGACGAATGGAATGGAATGGAGGACGAAAGGATATGTAACGGAAGGGAAATGGAATGGATGGAGGAACACCGAAACATGGAATGGACCCGACCAATGGAAGGACAGAATGAAGATCTGAATCTGAACGGACTGTTCAACACAAAATATGAAAAAAATGGAATGGAAGGAATGGACCGATGGCCTTGAATGGAATGAATGGATCTGAATGGATCTGACCGGAAGTGGGAAATAACGGACTGGCCTCCCATTTGAAAGGGATGACATGGAAGAATTGATGGATGAAGAAATGGATCAGGGAATGGAATGGATGAAGAAGGGAATGGATAATGGATATTCATGAATGGATGGAAAGCCCATTGAAGGATAAATGGAAGGAGGAAGAAGGAATGAAATAGGGAAGGAGCCCACCGGAAGGACAACAATGGAATGAATGAAATGAAATGGACTGAAATGGAATGGAATGAAATGGAATGGACACATGACCCGGAAGGAATGAATGAATGGAATGGATTCGAATGGACAATGGAAAACCATGGATTTATCTTTCTTTTTCTGGTGACGTCCGATTTTGTCCTGATTTCTGACTCTCTAGTTTCCGGAATTTCCAAAAACCTTTATGGAGACCCTATGTAAAAACGTAGAAAATATTATTTTTAATGTAGGTATATAAAAATATAATTATTGATTTAGATATATTTTTAGTTAAGTATCTCAAGTCCATTATTGGACGAATTGCATCTCAAACGACAGTTTATCGAAATTAGTTTTAACAGAAGAAAAACACAACTCGAACAATGCTTAGGATTAGCTTTACTAGCTACTGATTTGTCAGAACTGGAAAACATCCTCCAGGATAGAAGGAATCTACTAGCCAGCAGCAACGAATTAGGTATGTATGTTACTGTAACAGAGTTAGAAATCAGCGAATGTTAACAATTCCTGTATACAGTTCAGAAGTTTCACCTTGCAGACAAGTACCCTTTGTATCAGGCGGATTAAGTCTGTGGCAGGCTAAACCTTCGGCGGACCAAGCCTGTCACAGGCCAAATCCGTAGACTTCATCTGTCAGATTAGATTTAAGAAATGATCTAAGGATAAAGTCGCGGACTTGTAAAGCTTTTTCTTTCTAAGCGGCATTTTTAATTCCGATAAACTTCAGTTTGCAGTTTTAATTTCGATAAACTTTCTTTTTGGTCATGGTTATTTTAATAATGATTTTAAGATAAAATTCTGAATAAAGCCATAGAAAGATTATAATAGACTTTTTTATCTTTAGGCGATTCCTCATCCTGTGCAGAACTGTTACTTCACGAACATAAGAAACTTCTCCAGCTTTTCAGACAGCTTCAGAAAGCTTTAAGATTAATCCAAAGCCAGAACAGTTGCTAACTTCCGGCTGTTATGGAGGTGACAAAGCCACTCAGCAATCGTATGTTATTCTGTCTTCCACGTCAGAATATCTTGCTGACTTACAGAACAGAGAGTCATTGCTAGAAAGAGCGATAGCTTTCTTCAGATCATCACAAGCGGTAATTAGAACTATAAATAGATTTTATATAAATTTGGATAAATTCAGTGTGAATTCTATGTTAAATAAAATACAATTAAGCCATCACATTCACAGACTTTCCTAATATGAAAATTACTTGAATGAAGCAACTATTTTTATGGTTCAATTACTTTATTATATCAAATGTTTTATGGAATATAAGATGATTACCTAATGTATCAACTGATTTAGCAAAATCGAGTTGAAAGGCTTAGTAGCATGCAAGTAAGTTGGCAGCTTACTTTGATGTTGCACACACTGACTCTGACTTGAAAACAGTCAGTACAAGCAGCATTTTGCAAATACACTTATATCGTGTAATTCCACCTTTATACCAAGTAAATTGGTATCTAAAATATCTAAATTTTGTACTTAAGTCCATTTAAAAGTCACTTGGATCATTTTTATTCTAATCGCCAAAATTGATATTGGAGTCATACAATTAGGCCAAATAAAACATAATTACAAATATATTCTCACTGGTCATTTTACAGGTTTTGACCAAACTGGATCAACTAGAAATCCAACTCAAAACCACAGAACTGCCAAAAACATCACCGAAACTTGCCGAACTGCACGCACACTGCGCAAGAACGATAGAAGAAGCTACCTCAGCTCCAATAGAAGAAGGTTATTCCATAATAAATCTAGCAGGCCTTTCTGGTGGAACTGAAGGTAATAATTATGCAAAAATAAAATTACCGCTTCTAAATTACTATCTTTTGGGGTACTAGGAGTCAAGAAAATGGTGGATGAACTAGGAAACAAGAAAATAATAATTGCTAAAATAACACTCTCTATTTCTAAAAAAAAAAAGAAAAATAAGAGAGTTACATGCTCTGAATAACTTTCTTGATGGTTATAACGAAATTAATAATTGGTTGGTGACCATAGCTGAAGGATTCCTTAAAGGACACCAAGATATGGGAGGTGATTTGAGATTAGCAGAAGATTTCTTGCAGTTACATCACCAATTACAATCTGATCTCCAGGTATGTCTGTTAATAGTTTAATTTTCTTAGTTTAGTAAACAGTATGACATTAAATATTGTACGTCATTCGTCCTCAATTAACTTTCTGGTGTATTGTGTTTCTGAAATTCTAAATATCTTACTCATACTGTAAAATTTGATTTACCAGACTTGTAATATTTAATGGTAATTAAAATTGTGGTTAATGATTAATTCTATGAATATTCTTATTTTGTGACCGTTGAAATGAACAACCAACTTCTACCAACACTTCCTTCCAATACTCGAATATTTAGAAGACGATCAAAGAAGAGACGTGGATTCTAAGGTAGAAAACCTCCACGAAAAATGGATGAATCTCAAAAACATTCTAGAAACTAGACTGGAGCTTGCCAGAATATATGTCAAGTTCCATATGGAAGCTGACATAGTCAACAAGTAAGAATCTTTTCAATTTTGTTTATATTTTGTTGTAAAGTTTCAATCAGAACCTCGAAATTAGGCAGAATAAATTAGTGGTTTCAATCACTTTATAATTTTTAGATTACGATCTTTCAGAATAGACCCCCTTACACCGGAAAACCTGGCCTGCGGATCCGGTCTTCAAACCCGGCCTGCGGACTTTATCTGTCACTTACCAAAACTGTCGTATTTTGGTAAGCAAACTTGGTCTCTGACAGACTTGGTCTGCCAAAGGCTTAGCCTGCCACAGGCTTGGTCCTGTCCACAAATGCAAGGATTTCATCCGCAGGCGAACTCCACAGGCCAAATCTTCAAGTGTATGGGGCCATTGTCTAAAAATAAATTAAATTAATAGAATATCCCAGCAACAGGTTGCGTTAGTCAGTTGTATTCATAGAGGAAGCCTATAATAATAAGTTTTATAAAACAATAAACCTTTTGTTTCTAACCACAATTCTCTTGACGGATGATAACTCAAAGGCCAACATGAAATTACTCACACTTTGGTTTACAATAATTAGTAAAAATTAATTGAAAATTACTATCACTAATTTTGACTTTCTGAATGCTTACATTAAAAGCCTCAGAGGAAACAAACTCTCTACGCCATTCTTTGAAACCACTAATTTATTCCTGACTAATTTCGAGGTTCTGAATGAACCTTTAACAGTCATGGTTAATTTTAGATATATTTACTGTAGACTAAAGTTTTTGTGTATACGATTTTTAAGGGAAATGGATAAATTGGAAGCTTCAATTAAGGACAAGGATCATGTGGATGAAGAAAATATGAAAGTGATTGAAGAGAAATTCGAATCTTTGATACCATTCTATCAATCTGCTAAAAACACTGGCTTGACTTTCATAAGCGAAATCAGTCGGGTAAGTATTTCCAATAGTTTTTTTATTTTTTTTTTGAAACATATTGTAGCTTAGATTAGATTTTGGAGGTGGCTACCGGCTTCTTCCACTCCGGCCTTTTCAGATCTATTGTGGTCGTCTTTTGATCTCTAGGTTTATATTCTCCAGTCCCATCTTTTTTCAAAAAGTCTGGCAACATGGAGGCTAAACCCTCCATATAGTTCTTTGTCAGTAGTTTACCACTGCCTAATATAAAGAGCCAGATTCAGATTGACAAAATCTTGGTTTCGTTCGCCAATCTTAGCAGTTTACGATTCTTCTCTTCTCTCTTCCACGTGTAAGATTTTGCAATTTCCTGTTAGGAGACTCACTATAGCTTTGGCAGTCTTAATGTCATTTTCTTGTCAAACCAGCCGGCTTTACTACACTCACCGACACGAAAAACGGGCACCTTAAAATTTTCATGTATTTTAAAGTGTTATTTATTGTGTTCTAGTGGACCGATTTTTATAATTTTTAAGCAATTTGTAGCTAAATTATTTGACTATTTAGTATGTCTTTCTAAATTAAAAATGAAGTTGCCATCTGTCAATTATACGAGGGAAAACATAATGTTGATATTTTGGTGAAAGTTCGAAACACCTTGTGGAGTACGTTAACAAAGCAAAGAATTTAAGAATAATTATTTTATCATCTAGTTGTATCTTTTCTCGATAGTTTATTTTTTGATTCATCTTAATATCCTAATTTTTTTTGAAGATATTCGCTTTTGAAGAAGACACACACATTTTTTCGAATTTTTTACATTAAAACCGCGCCTTTGGTTTTGGTCCTAGTCAACAGACCTATTAAATAGAGTTTACGATTTATGTAATGTCACTGTCTTTGAAAAATCATATTATTATTGTCTGTTGGGCAATTACACTAGCAGATGTGGTTTTAAGTTCAAAAGTATCTAGTACTAACTCTACCATGATCAATTAGAGCAGCAATAGCCGATACTTCAGAACTTAAAACCATCTCTACTAGAGTAAACGGCAAAAAACAATAATAATATGACATTTCAATGTCAGTGACATTGTAAAAACAATAAACACTATTTTATAAGTGTGTTGATGAGGACCAAAAATCAATGCTAAAATTGCTGTAAATCGTTTGTGTCTTATTCAAAAGCGAATTGGAGGTAATAAAAATAAAGTTATTGAGATGAATCAAAAAACAAACTATCGAGAAAAGACGTATTTAGTGCTAAAATTATTTTTAAATTTCTTGATTTGTTAACATATTCCACAGAGCGTTTCAAACTTTCACCAAAATATCAAAATTTTGTTTTCCCTCGTATAATTGACAGACGGAAACTTGTATTTTTAATTTAGAAAGAAAAACTAAAAACTAATAAATAATTTAGCTACAAGTTGCTTAAAAATCATAAACATCGGCCCACTATGAATGTGAGCATATGAATAATATTTACGGGTCTTTTTATCAGCCCTTTTATTGAACCTCGTACTATTTACTGTATTTAGAGCACGTACACAATCTTACATGAGTCTAGAATTGACTTAGAGTGCCTTTAGCGCTGCTTGAATGTCTGTGCAGATGGCGATATATCGTAACTTTTCTTTATAATATTATTCAATGTAGAAAATACATATTAATTAAAAATTGGTAGCTTAATATATTTTATTCTTGCAGAGTTAAAGTATTATTATAGTAAAGTGAAAAATATACCGTATGATCGAATAAAAACGGCGTCAGCGATAGCTATGAAATGACAATCGATGACAAATCCCATATAAATTTACATATAAAATAAAATGACAGCGATCTTTATTTCATAGCCATCGCTGACGCCGTTTTTATTCGATCATACGGTACTAATATCTATACTATTAATATTTTGTTGAATTAAGAAAATCCGTAAAATTTTCTTTGTTTCAAAACTGCCGTAGGGAAATGTCATTAAAAACCGCATTGCAGTCGTAAATCTCAGCAAAAAATGAGTGAACACGTCGCCGTTTTGGTTTTAGTATGAAAATTATTTTCTCTCTCTAATTTTAGAAGAGAATGAGGAACGCAACGGGCACTACTTTATGTTTAGCTATATAATAGTAAGTTGCTTTCTTGGAAATCCCAAAATAATTTAATTATGACATAGAGAATACTACTATAGATAAAGGAAGTATCATAAAGGAATTATTCTAATGATGGATTTAGGTGTATTTCTGTTGTGTGTTATAACTATCCTATATGACTACTTGAAAAAAACTAATATATACTCAGGAGTTATACTATATGTGGTCCAGTTAGTGAAGTAATCGCTCCTTTTCTAGCTAGATAGTTCAGATTTTTAGCTTTTTCATTACCTTCTATCCCTTGGTGGGCTGGCATCTAGAAGATGGAGGATTTATTTTGCTTAATATGTTCAGCTTCTCTAGGTATTCTTTGACCAACTTCGAATTGATGGTTACTGAGTGGATTGCTTTTAATGCTACTTGACTATCAGATAAGATAGCTATTTCTTGTTTCCGATAGTTCCTATCTAAAATAAGTTGTACGCACCTTTCGATAGCGTAGGTTTCTGTCTGAAGGATGCTGGGGTATGTCAAGGGTACTATAGAGATAATGATAGTTCGATTCCTATCTTCCTGTACTGTCAGTTTTTTTTACGTTTTCCAGGGACCGAGTTGAAGTTCGCGCTAAAGATTTTAGACAGTGACAGTTATTTTTGCGTTTGACGGACGAGCGCACAGTGCGGCGGAAAAGATAAATCTAGCGGGACAAAACCGTTTGATTAGAAATAAGCCAAAATTATTTACTGATAAGAATAAATAGTAGACATTCCAATTGATATAAAAATGCACGAATTATTTTTTGGTCGTATATATTCTTTGTATTTCGATACATTTTTATCAACCAAATTTGATCTTTTTCTGCTCAGCAAGGCAGAAGTCATAGGAAAACAAAATATTTAAAAGTGCTTATACATTTTATTCCAAAGCCAAATTATGTGGAAGATTGTCAAAGGTATGTACTTTTCTACTGTAGGTATATTATTTGTTAAAATCCTTCGTGCCTTTATTCTGCAAATAGCAAACTTTCACTTTTTTCAAATATTGATATATTGAATGATGTAGGTCTTAGTAACTTTTTTTTTGAGTTACTAATAGTTACCAACACAGGTAGTCAGTCACAAGGAGTTCATGCTTAACAGGTGAATACCCAAAAGTTTCATTTCAATCGGATAGTATAAAAACGAAATAAAGACTCTTTAAAGGGTTAATTGAAGAGCATTCAAAAGAAGAATTGGGTTTTGCAAGTACTATGAGCTTTAGGGCTAATGGTAGTAAGGAGTAAGGATGCTGCTGTAATTGTTGAAGCCTTAACTCCATCGAAAGGCACTGAGTTTAAAAAATTAATAGTTGCCCATACACGGAAAGGCCCGGCCTTCGGACTTGG